CATTCATACATTCACTTACTCACCACCCATTCATTCAAGAGTATTTATGCTACACGGGCATTGGAGGTACAACAGTGAACAAGAAGATGGGAACCATGGCCTCACCAAGTTTAGCTGGGGCAGGATGGACAGGAAACAAACAAATATGTAAACATGATTTTAGACAGGGACAAGCGCTTCAAAGAAAAGGACAATGTGCAGGGCTGCTTTAGAGTGGAGGGGCAAGGAAGGCTTCAGAAGAGTGACACCGGAGCAAAAACCTGCGCAAGGCAAAGAGCCAGCAGAAAGAAGAGTCATGCAGTGGCCCGGAGCTGGGGGAGCTCCAGGGTCAGGACTATGGTGGTGTGACTGAAGAACAGGGAGGTGTGGACATGGAAAACAAGGAGCAGGGCCCGGAGGGGGAACACCAGGGCCACGGAGGAGTTTGGGTCCCACCCTTAGAAAGGTGGGGGAGTCTAAGCAGCACAGACACAACACTCTGACACCAACATGAGCGAATCTCAAAAGCATTACTCTGAGTGCAAGAAGCCTTACACAGAAAAGCACCTGCCCCATTCACATCGAGCTCTAGAACAGGAAAATTATGGGAAAAATTCAGAATAGTGGCTGCCTTGGGGTGGCAACAGGGGACCAGGGATTGGCTGGGAAGGCGCATGAGGGAATTTTTGGGGGCAATGCTAATCTTCAGTATCTTAATAGGGGTTGGGTCACACAGGTATATGCATTTGTCAAAACTCATGGACTAGGGCCGGCCAAGTGGCGCGTTGGTTAAAAGCTGGCTTGAGACACCAGCTCTGAACAGCAGGGCCCCGGTTTGGATCCCACTGATGCTGCTTCAGCTAGGATGGTGAACAACAGCTCAACCTGGAGCTGGGCTGCCATGAGTCACTGGCGACGGCGTAGGCTGCAGTGGGCTGTTGTAAAGCTACCGTGAGTGGCTGGCAGCCAGCGTGAACTGCCAAGAGCCGCCGTGAGCGGCCGTCCAGTGGTCGGCGACCGATCTGCCTCACCTGGGAAGAGCACAATAATAATACGAACATGGGCCAGTGAAGCCGCGTCCTCCACAACTAGACTGAAGAACAAAAGGACAGAAACTTGTCTGTTCCCCTTCCCCGATGCCCCAGTGCTGTTCCCCTCCCCCAATTCTCCAATAAAATCTTAAAAAACAAAAAACTCATGGACTATATGGTTAAGACTTGTACATTTCATTGTACATAAACTTTGCCTCCAAAGAAAAAAGAACTAAACACATATCTAGCCCTAGTTAATGATGTGCATTCGATATCCTTAGGTAGAAAAGTACTGATGTCTGTACCTTACTTTGAAATACATTTTTAAAATCAAGATGAATTGATGGATGGGTAAAAGGATGGACAGATGAGTGTAGTACAATATTGACTAGTATTGTACAATAAAGGGAAAATCTAGGTGTGGAGGGTAACTGAGTATCATGGTAACATTCTTCCAACTTTGCTGCGGGTGTGACAGGGGCATAGATGGTGAGCATGGGTATGATTGCAGAGTCTTGATGACTCCTGGTTCCTGCTCTCTTGCATGGTGGCCTGCGTGGATTAGGTGACGCTGTGTTATGGCTGAGCAGCCTCTTGCACATCCCAGGGGAAAGGGCCCATGGGAGTGAGGGGACCCAAGTCCAGCTGGAGGAGTGAGGCCGGGTCTGGCAGCACCCCACTCTCAGGAGCACCCCTTTCTGTGTTCCAGGCAGACGATGCTCCTTGGATGGTGGCACACCAAACCCTAGAGGGGAGAATGGAGGTGACAGAGAGTGGAGGAGACTATCATAACTGCTTCAAGAAGTCTTACTGGAAGGGAAGCAGAGAAGAGGGCAGTAGCTGGGGAGGGCACAGTGCCAAGCTGAGGTTTGATGGGGGTGGGGAGTGGGGGGGGCAGAGGCTGAGGACAGTCAGAGTGAGGCTTTACCCAACCGCTTAATGTGGTGACTCAGAGTAAGACAGATGGGGCTCTGAGGTGTCAGAAGTCAAGGCTGGGCCACACAGTGGGCTGTGACACGGGAGCTGCCCTAGAAGGGAGGTGGGAGTCTCCCCAAGTACAGGCCCTGCTACCCTCTGGGGCTCAGTGCAGCTGCGAGCACCCCTTCACAGGGGCTTTCCCAGCTGCCCTGTCCCACTGTTTACTCCCCCACTCCAGCTAACAGCCACACCTGAGCCAGCCCAGTGCCCAACGGTCCTATGGGCAGGAGTGGGGGCTTATGGCTGGGCTTCCCTTGGCCAGCATGGCCTTATCAGTAGCATGAGGACAGAGAACCTGGGCGTCTCAAAGTACCTCCAGTGGCCTCTTCAGAAACCTAGAGATGAAGCTCTGCCCCTGTGACACGGACACAGGAGAGGCCTTGCAGCCCTGAGGAAGTCTCAGGGTCTCCAAATAACCCCAGCAGGAGCCAGGGTGCCTTCCCAGCAGGCAAGACCAGTGTCGTGCCTGTGTGACAATGGCGCCCATGACGTGAGGGCAACTGTGGCTGTTTTGCCCAAAGGTCTTTCCCCTTGCATCTGATTCAGGCATATCCCTCTCAGGATACTGGGGTCAAATGCTGAGCTGTGTCAAGTAGTAACATATAACTCCAACTAGCCAGCTCCTTCAAGGCTAAAGTTTATTCCAAAATGGACTCTGAGGATCTGCAGAGAAGGGCAGGGAAGCGCCTGGGCTGCCTGAAGGAGAAGCTGGGCAGTTCCAGCTGGAGCCTCTCCCCAGCCTGGCTTCCCAGACCAAGAAATGGACAGTGGGCACCACACCCACCTCTGAACACTCATAGACAGCAAAACATGTGCTGTTTGCAAATAAATGTTTCTATTTTAAATTGTGAGCATGCCCTGAGAACAGTGACCTGCTACTATATATCACGTCCTGCGTGACAAGGGCTGGGGTTTGAGGAGGGGTGGCGAAGGGTTAAGAAATCACAAGAGTCAAAAGTAGAGTTTCTGCAGACAGAGAGAGCGAGCCGTGATCCGAATAACTTTTATTTACAACTGTCACAAAGAGGTCAGTTTGAATATCTATACCCAGTTAATTGATTCGATTAGACCGGCAGCTGCTTCACTGAAACTCATTGTGATCAAGCACGAGTTGTGCCTATGATCCCCGGGATGGACTCAGCATTCCGAGACCACCAGATAAGGAAGTTTTACCGAGATCATTCCATCAGGACTTAGCATTCCAAGACACTTCCTTATGACTTCAAAGGATCAGTGTGCAGGAGCATTTGAGTCGGCAGCTGCAAGGCGACATCTCCCCCTTTTTGAGTTTAGCAGTATGAGGAACACAGACCACGCGGTTTCCTGATTATTTCCCTTCTGAGCTTTTGTTGTTCGTGGCAGATGACTAGGTAAAATAGAAACAATAAAATCAATAAGATTAGAAATGCACCCATAAGTCCTTCTCCAAAGGTATTTACCCAAGGGAGAGGGTTTAAAGTAGAAAACTCTTCTGCAGCCACAGAAAGTTTCATCTCCAGGCAGGAGAGATAAGTGAGCATACGTCATCAAATCCACCTCTTGCTGTAGTTCTTGGATATTTACAGTAAAGCTAAGTTAAACACAATAAGTAGAAATATTCCAGTTACATTTTAAAGTAGTTATTTCCTTTCTCTCTGGGAACTTCCCAGGTTTGGTGACAAAGTGAGACACACGGGGGAGGGGGGTGTCTTTAAACCAATGCAAATAGGTGTTTTTTAAATAGCCCACAGCCGTGTGATTTAAAAGAGTAAATAAAGAAGGATTAGGCAAATAAGCCCAATAAGTAAAATTAATTGTTACAACGCTTTGCAAAACATAACTTACAACTGAAATTACTGCAGCATAGAAACTAGCATGTTGGTGTCATGTTTAGGTATGCCTTTGTCATCCAAATTCTTTTCTGCCATCTGAGACAGCTTTTTCAATTGTCCCCATGTGGGAGGTTGAGCTTTCTCCGTCTTGGGAGTGCTTCCTCCAGGAGGTGGGCCGATCCGGGTGATTTACAGCGTGATTGTCAGCTATAGACGGAACTTTTGGAACACTGGAGGTTCTATGTCTGCTATCCGCGCTAATTTTCTCTTCCTCGAGCCATCGCTCATGGTAAGGTTTGACACACCTGCCAGGCACCCACAAGGGCCGCTCCTTTGGACCTGGAGAAATACAAGCAAAACCTCGTCCCCAAGTTAATAAGGTTCCTAAACGCTATTGATTAGTTTGGATATCTTTCCACCAGATAGGAACTTTTCCCAAAGGTTTTGAACTAAGCATGCTGTTGAAATGCCTCTCAGCTGCAGTCTGTCCAAGGTGTGGTTCAGTACTTGAACCAGAGGAATTCAAAAAATGTAAGGTAAACATAGCTTTTGCTAATTGTATCTGTGGGGAGTCCTTGCTGTCTCCCCCTTTCTGTTTTTGTGACTGTTTCTTTAAGGTGGAATTAGCACGTTCAACAATAGCTTGACCCTGTGGATTGTAAGGAATCCCAGTGTGTGCGAAATTCGCCATACAGCGCAGAATTGCGCAAATTTAGAGCTTGCATAAGCAGGACCATTGTCTGTTTTGATAGAACGAGGCAGGCCCATAATGGAAAAGCAAACAAGTAATCGACAACAGGCATGGGCGGTGGTCTCTCCTGTCATAGCATTGGAGACTAAAAAACCAGAAGTCGTATCTATAGTAACATGAACAAAGGATGTCCGCCCAAATGAAGGAACACGAGTCACATCCATTTGCCAGATAGCATTGGGGACTAAACCTCGAGGGTTAACTCCTTCAGGACGCTCTTGTGAAGCGTTAAAAATCTGACAAGTAGGGCACGTCTGTATAATTTGAGGAGCTTGGTTGTTAGAGATAGCAAACCGCGAATGCAGACCATCTGCATTAGCATGTGTTAGGGAATGGAAGTGTGTTGCCTCTGCAACTTGAACACTTCCAGCTAACGAATCAGCAATTGAATTGCCTTGTGTCTGTGGACCCGGCAGGGTAGTATGTGCACGATACAGAAGGGGTGCTGACAGTCTTCGCCCGGAGTTGCCGCGGTTTCCTGCTTCAACAGTGCTTGGACGGAACCGGCGCTCATTCCTCCATCCCGCCGGCCTCTCAGCTCTACCCTTCGCCACCTGCCCACAGCGCCCTCCGTCCGCCCTCAGGTTCCCGCCACCGCTCCAGCGCCGCCGAGCCGCCGCCGCCGCCGCCTCTCCTTAGCCTCCCACCATGACGACCGCGTCCACCTCGCAGGTGCGCCAGAACTGCCACCAGGACTCGGAGGCCGCCATCAACCGCCACATCAACCTGGAGCTCTACGCCTCCTACGTCTACCTGTCCATGTCTTACTACTTTGACCGCGATGATGTGGCTCTGAAGAATTTTGCCAAATATTTTCTTCACCAATCTCATGAGGAGAGGGAACATGCTGAGAAACTGATGAAGCTGCAGAACCAGCGAGGTGGCAGAATCTTCCTTCAGGATGTCAAGAAACCAGAACGTGACGACTGGGACAATGGGCTGACTGCAATGGAGTGTGCGTTACACTTGGAAAAAAGTGTGAATCAGTCACT